AGAAAAAAACGAAAATTTCCAAGCAGGAGGTTTTCCAAAGAGGTTACCTGATTTTCAGCTGTTAAATCAGTCGATGGTAAGAGAATCGATATGCACATCGATCCTGATCGATGACACAGCTGGGTTCTTCAAAATGGCGCAAGTGAGGTGAAGATGAGACGAGACCAGCCTGGAGCCTGTGAAAATGGTGGGGGTAGACGTCCAACACAAACGAAAGATAGCTCCAGACTGACTTTCCGGCATTATTATGGCATTATTTTGATGTCTTAATCCCTAAGACTGGGCATTACTGCCGGACTAGTGCATATACAAATGCGATAATACATATATAAACAATATGAACTGAAATACATTATAGAGACACTATCTCTCAGTTTTTTTTTTTTACCAAAAAAATAAATAAACATTTCTTTATTAACATTTAAAAGGGGTGAATGGTGAGAAAAATAAATAAATATATGAGCGTATGCGGCGTTAGCACAAATAAATGTTAAATAAATAAAATATTCAATTTATCGTTGGTCTATTTAAATAGTATGGCTATTTTCTCGGTAGCTGATAAAGTATTGTTATTTTCAAAAAGTGGTAATAGTTAACAACGATTGGCTATTAAATACGGTTATTTAAAACAAAAATAGAACTTAAAGCAACCGGTGACTCTAATATTAAACCGCATACAAATTAAAACCGTTATTAATTACTTCACCACAACGGGTCGATATGAGAGAAACGCAATCTGTAATGACCGCGGAACCGCATTTAACATTACTATGGAATAACGATCCCCTCGGTTACAATGTTCCCATTTAGGTTGGGCACTAATTGAAGCAGTCCAGTAACCTGTGTACTAACTGCTAACTGCATTCAACCAATGGCTAGTATTTTAAATATTAATCATACCTATCATGTCATCATTTCATATACATTATATTATATTATTAACATTATATTTCATATGTGTATTATATTATCTCTGCTTGTCAAGCAAACAATAATATATGTAAATCAGACATTTGAGAATAATAACAATATTAAAAACATATATTTATTTTCATATAACCGTCTCGACAGGAGTTTTCCGAGGTTCAATACTGGTCCATCTATTTCACATTGTATACACTTACAATATTAAGGATGTGATATTGACAAATAAGTTCTTTCGGTTTTTCAGAGTGAAATAAAACTCAATGTATTTTAATCTACAATATATCTATCATTATTTAATTTTTTTTTTTATATTTGTTTATTTAGAAATATCACATTCTGTCACATCAAGGACATTTGTAATAGTGTTCAGAGAACACACTCACACTCTATTTACAATAAAAAAAAATAATAATACAATAAACTAAAATAAAAATAAATACAATAAAATAAAATAAATCTGATGATTTTCAATAAGTTTTTAATTGAAAGCTATGGTTTTTTAAAAACAATATGAAACGAATTCACACCTTTTTTTTTTTTTGGACCATTATAAGTAACATAACTATATACACTGGCTTAAAACAACCAACCATCGACCAAGACAGTGCTCACTATTACAGCTTTCATAATAAACCTCATGAATTCAGCAATCGATCGGTCTTTCCTCAATTAAGATACTAAATAAAGATCGTAAGAACTGCTCCTGGGTATTATCTTTCTCAGTTCTTAATATTCCATAAATATAATCGTTACGCTGTGAACAAAGATATGAAATTATAGGTTTGGAAAATAAGTCCTTTCGGTTTTCAGGGTGAAATAGAACTCAATGTATTATAGACATAAATTATATTGACATAAAGTATATTGACCATTATTTAATATGACTTTTTTCCCATCTTTCCTCTAACTGCATAATGCCATGTTCATAAAATGTCTGGAGTTTATTGTTAAAAAACAGATCCAAGTAGGGTTTGATGTCATCTTCCTTTTGGAATTCATTTCCATTCATGGAGTTCTGCAGGGACCGAAATAAGTGGTAGTCACTTGGAGCTAAATCTGTTGAATGAGGAGGGTGGGGCAAAAGGTCCCATCCAATTTATTATAATATTTATTTATTAATATTTATTATAATTTATTACGAGTGACGAATGAGGTGTGAGGCCTAGCGTTTAGTGTTGCCCAAAATCGGTCTGGCACTTTGCAAGACCAAGACCAAGGCCGCCTAACTGTTGCAAGACCAAGACCAGGACTGGTAAAAAAATAGATTTTTCAAAATTAAAATTAAGACAAAATAATGACTAATACTCTAAAATTTTAGTTACTACATGTTAATAATTGGTATAACCAATATACTTTTGCATTTAACTCATCTAATTTTTCATTCGGGCTTATCTCTATAGTAATAAGCTAATAAGTAACTGCGAGACTCTTGCGCGAGACCAAGACCATGACCAATACTGAGTTTGCAAGACCAAGACTCGTCTCGGTCTCGCATTTGGACAACACTATTAGCGTTGTCTTGGTGGAACACAAAACCCTTCCGATCATTCATAATTCTTCAGGATTCCAAATTCGATGTTACTATATCCTTTAGATAGATGAATTATTGTTCTTCAAAGCCGAACGAATGATTTTTTTTAACCATTTAAGCCTGCATAAGGAATAAATAAACAAAAACTCTTTATACGTTTTTATTTTTTATCTCCATTTGTTGTTCGGTTACGAATGTCCTCATCATATCATTAATGTAGTTTAGGTGGCCCTATATCTCTGCTAAATTTCTTGTAAATAGCTAAACTTGTATTGAAGTTATAACATTTTGTGTGATTTTCGAAAAAAAAAAACATTCGGGAGACCCAAACATTAAGCCTGGAAACATAACCGAGTTTTTGCAAATGGTTTTCTACGCTTGTGTGCGATAAATTTAGGGTCATAGCAATCTCTTGCGCTGATTTTGATCAGCAATGTCTTAAAAAATCGAAAGGACTTAATTGCCAAATCAATGCTAACGCAGACGTTACAACAATTTTCACAAAACATCGAGACCTTACACTGACCTTCCAAATTTGACATCATTTACTTAAATTACAAGATTGATTCAATTTATGAAAAATTCGACTTAATCATGAAATAATCCAAACATTTATTCATCGAAAAATTAAAAAAATGTTCTCCATTTTATACTGATAATAATCAAATTCCTCAAACGGGCAGGGTTCTTTGGATTCAACTTCAACAGAATGATAACATGGGGCCGAAAATAAATTTTATACAGGACATTAGTCCCCTCAACATAACTAAAATAAACAACGAAATGACAATTATCTGGCGATTTTCAATAATTAAATGACAATTAAAAATAAATTAATTTACAAAGTTGAATAACCTTATAATTAAAATAAAGAAACATGTAAATTTTTCATAATATTAAGAAAGTATAGTATTTATAAATAATACCAAAAGAAATAAGCTATAAGTTAATACAGAAAAAAAAAGCAAAAGAAAAACTTTTAAATTTTTATTTATATCGATTTGATAGAAATAATGAGGATAATTATTATTAAAGGATAATTATTATCAAGTATATAATAATAATTATCCTTTTATTATATAAAATATATTTAAAGGCACGAAATTATTACAGTTTGGAGGGTCTTTGAGCAGGTCGGGGAGGAATTGATTACCAGTTAAGACAGCATCTAATAATATGCCCACGCAGGTCACCTCTCGATACCGCAATATTGCTGTCCATGTAAATGATCAAAATTCACCAACTGATCTGTTGGTATAGGCAGAATATGGTGGGGGGGTGAGCGACGAGAACGATCCTCCCCCTCAATAAAAAGGAGCGAGAATATCGTTTCGCCCCTCCCAATAATTTGTAGTAAAAATTAAAATATATAACAAATAAAATATGTAAACTAAACTTGACTAAGAAAATCCGATCATTAATATTCAGTGATGATTATATTGAAACATTTCCTAGGATTTTATAGCTCATTCATTTTTCATGTTTATATACCCATTTGCAAGTGATTTTCTTATAAATTTTCTATGATACATTTGGATGAAATATATTTAATAAATATAAAAATAAATATATATTTTATAGAAAATATTTTTTTGGACAGTTAGACTATGAAAACATTGTCTAACTAGTTAGACTGTGAAAACATTGTGTTTTTATTTTAAAGTTGTGCAAATCAAGAAATCAACAATATTTTTCGGTTTTTTAATATTCATTTTTTGTTTTCCTTCCTTGCATGTTTAATGGATACAAAAACGATAATTATATATATATATATATTTATTTATTTATTTTTTTTCGGTTAACTCTACAGACCTTGTAGATCTTTAGCCTCCTGAACCAGCCTTCTCCACCTCTGCCTATCTTGGGCTACTGCTTTCCAGTTTGCGGCATGAAGCTCAGCCGTATCTTTGTTTATCCTATCTATCCATCTGGTTTTTGGATTCCCATTTGATCTCTTGCCTACTACTCTAGTGTTCATTGTTGTGTAAAGACGTCCTGATTGGATTGCTTCGAGCTACATACCCCGGCCATCTTAACCTCCTTGCCTTCATGAGATTTTTAATGACCAGTTTCTTTTAGCGGTTCTTTATTGTTCCTTCTTATACAAGTGTTAAGGTTCTGATCCCAAATAGGTCCTGTTATCGTATGGAAGACTTTTCTTTCGAATCTCTCAATTCTACTTTCTATGGTGCCGGTTAGAGACCAGATTTCACAGGCGTACAGCAGAACTGACATTATCTCGGAAATATGTAATATTTACATATATATATATATATATATATATATATATATATATATATATATATATATATATATATATATATATATATATATATATATATATTAACTAGAAGTAAATTTCAGTATGGTTGAAGTTGATTCTGCAATGTTAAAGCTATATTATACCTAAATATCAATGAATTCATAAAGCTAATTGATAAATACAACATTCTATATATGAATACAAAAAAAAAACACACACATTTTCATTCTACCATCAAGAAAACATGTTTTCAAAAATACATATGATCACTTACCAACACTATGGAAGATAAAACGGCGCGTACTCCCTGGGACCATTGTCGTATATGGAAGGCTTCTCTTTTGTTCCATGGAAGACAACGAGTGCACTTCTCAATCTTCCGGGTCTAATCAGTTCTGGTCTGTCCTCATACAACTGTAAAAATGTGTAGAATGATTATCCCGAAAAAATTCAGGAAAAAAAGTTATAAAGTTTCTTCATGAACATATGTAAAGATATAAAAACTTTTCTGAAATAGGTAGGAAAGTCGTATGAGTGGATACCAGATATTTTTTTTAAAAGACCCCACCATAATATCGAATTCCTCTCATATCCAACCCTTACTATAGAGGGTGTATCAGTTCTTAATGGTCAAACTTTGATGATTCTAGACAAAATTTCTAACATAAAAGTTCATTTGATGCATGGACTGATTCTGAACGGAAAAGGAGTTAATACCAATTTTGTGTTTTTCTAAATGTTATCTCGATTTTTATTTAATAAGGAAGAATTTCTCAAAAACTGTTCAAGATAATTAAATACTAAGTACACCATCATAAAGTAGACAAAAGTTTCTTTGAGAAAGCAGTAATTAAGTTAAATAATATCAATGATAAAATGAACCTTCAGGAGGTCTGATGCAGTCGCTGTACAGGGACAAGGTACTCGTGTATGAGAACTGTGACTGCAACGGTACAGCTGCCGTATTACAATTCCTGGAGGTCTCTTCTAATATTGACCTTAGTAAATTTAACTAATGATTTCTCAGAGAAAATTTCGTTTACTTTACGATAGTGAAATTAGAATTTCATTATCTTGAATAGTTTTTGATCAATTCCTTCTTGTTGAATAAAGAATGTAATCACCTTAAGAAAAATACAAATATGATCTTAATACCTTTTTTCTTCGAAATAGGTCCATGCATCAAATGAACTTTTTTGTTGAAAATTTTTTCTAGAATTGAATGAATGAATGAATTTTTTATTGAGTATTTATACAATAACATACAACAAAAGTATCTAAGCTCAATAAAAATATATACAGCTTGGTTCTTGATACCGTCAGCCGGATGCTGGCCTTGGGAAAATAAGTATTATTGATACAATAATATAAACTAAAACCTAATATATTAATGTTAATAAATACAGTGTTAGTGCTAAAAAATACATTAATACAATGTATCAGCTCTTAATATCACAAATATAACTACACATATATAAATACATACACATTTTTAATATAGATATTTTAATATCATTAAATAGATAATTTTTCCGGCTTAAACATTATTAATCTAATAATTAAACTCTTGGCATAAGGCATATCTGTATTTCCAGGCTCCTTTACAATAATTGGAAAGACTTAGCTAAAATATTTTTTCCTAAATTCTTTCAGAACAGGACACACACCAAGAAAATGCACGATATTTTCTATTTCATTCCTATTACATAATAAACATAATTTATTACTTATTTCATAATACACCATACAGTTTAATTGTATTAATTCTGCTCTGGCCTTGAATATCCATTTTACTATCGTTTCATTATATTTCTTATCGAAATAATTGTTCCCCGATATATTATGATTTAAGTTTTTGTATATATTAGTTCTATTTGAATTTTTTGCTAGGGTTTTGAACCGATTTTCTAATTCTATTGCCAGTTTTTCTCTTATCTTCTGAAAATGTACGTTCCATTTATTTATGTTATTAAAATCAAAATCTATTTGGTATTGATTTGTTAAACGTTTTACTTCTTTATACCAGCCTATTTCTTTTGGTATTATTTTGGGTAACCTATTATCCGAA